TCTTGACCAAAATTCCTGCCTCTAGCAGCGCACTGTCAAAATCTCACTTCCTCTTTCTCAAGGGCCTGAATTTGTAAGACCGACATATGAGGCAGAGGGAGGACAAGAGAGAGAACACACACCTCTAAGGAGCCAACTCCACCAGCGGCAGATCAATGCACATTTTTCAGCCTTCTCTCTTTAAACCACCATATCTTTCTTTTTTTGCTGATACTAAGCATGCAGTTCAGGGAACAGTTGTAGGAAAGGCTAGGAGACAAGTATGAATGAGAGGCTGAAAAGGTATCAAGAAACCGATACTGACCCACATACATGCTGTTAGTTCAGCTGCTACAATACTGGGCCCTACCTTATTCCACAGCCTCACAAACAGACTAGAAGAACTGCTGGAAACAAGACACTGAACAAGCCAGGCAGCTTTGCCGTGACTCGGCCATGCCCATCTGTCTTACCGGACTGCAACAGGACACACCACTTCATCCACTAGACCACAAAGGGAAGGATTACTTGTAGGCATGGTTTTGGGGAGTATGTTTTACGTGGGGTATGGGACTTGTTCCCAAAACTACCTAAATCAATGAAAGATCTTCAAATGACCTACTACGTGATTCTCGTACTCATTACAGCATACAGGTATTCAGAAACAATATTCAACATTAACAGTGTTTCTCTCAATGGAAGATTACTATAATTCTAATTTTTCACAGGGTTGGTCTTGGTCAAGACAGGACATAGTTCTGTAAGTTCTTATCCCACTTTTCTTTTGGAATACAGGTGTTTTCTTGTCAAGACGAGGAAGGCCAAAGCCCACCTGGAATTGAAGCTGGCAAGGGATGTCAAAAACTACAAGAAGGGCTTCTTCAACTACATCAGCAGCAAAAGGAAGGCTAGGGACAATGTGGGGCCACTGCTGAATGAGACGGGTGTCCTGGTGATGGAGGATGCAGAGAAGGCAGAGCTACTGAATGCCTTCTTTGCTTCAGTCTTCAGTGCCAAGGCAGGCCCTCAGGAATCCCAGGCCCCGGAGGTAAGAGAGGAAGCCTACAGAAAAGATGACTTTCTCTTGGTCGAGGAGGACTGCGTGAGGGATCGCTTAAGTGATCTGGACACCCACAAATCCATGGGCCCCGATGGAATGCACCCACGAGTGCTGAGGGTGCTGGCGGATGTCATTGCTGAGCCACTCTCCATCATCTTTGAGAGGTCCTGAAGGACAGGAGAGGTGCCCGAGGACTGGAGAAAGGCCAATGTCACTCCAATCTTCAAAAAGGGCAAGAAGGAGGACCCAGGGAACTACAGGCCGGTCAGCCTCACCTCCATCCCAGGAAAGGTGATGGAGCAGCTTATCCTGGAGGCCATCATCAAGCAAGTGGAAGAAAAGAAGGTTATCAGGAGTAGTCAGCATGGATTCACCAAGGGGAAATCATGCCTGACCAACCTGATAGCTTTCTATGATGACATGACTGGCTGGGTAGACGAAGGGAGAGCCGTGGATGTTATCTACCTTGACTTCAGCAAGGCTTTCGACACAGTCTCCCATGATATCCTCCTAGGGAAGCTGAGGAAGTGTGGGCTGGATGAGTGGTCGGTGAAGTGGATAGAGAACTGGCTGAATGGCAGAACTCAGAGGGTTGTCATCAGCGGCGCTGAGTCTAGTTGGAGGCTGGTGACAAGTGGTGTCCCTCAGGGGTCAGTACTGGGCCCAGTCTTGTTTAACTTCTTCATCAACGACCTGGATGAAGAGTTAGAATGTACCCTCAGCAAGTTTGCTGACGACACCAAACTGGGAGGTGTGGTAGATACACCAGAAGGCTGTGCTGCCATTCAGCGTGACCTGGATAGGCTGGAAAGCTGGGCAGAGAGGAACCTGATGAGGTTCAACAAGGGCAAGTGCAGGGTCCTGCACCTGGGGAGGAACAACCTCATGCACCAGTACAGGCTTGGGGTGGACCTGCTGGAGAGCAGAGAGGGACCTGGGTGTCCTGGTGGACGACAGGTTAACTATGAGCCAGCAGTGTGCCCTGGCTGCCAAGAAGGCCAATGGGATCCTGGGGTGCATCAAGAAGAGTGTGGCCAGCAGGACAAGGGAGGTTCTCCTTCCCCTCTACACTGCCCTGGTGAGGCCTCATCTGGAGTACTGTGTCCAGTTCTGGGCTCCCCAGTTCAAGAAGGATGAAGAGCTACTGGAGAGAGTCCAGCGGAGGGCTACAAGGATGGTGAGGGGACTGGAGCATCTCCACTACGAGGAGAGGTTGAGGGAACTGGGCTTGTTCAGCCTGAAGAAGAGAAGGCTGCGAGGGGACCTTATAAATGCCTACAAATATCTGAAGGGTGGGTGTCAGGAGGATGGGGCCAAGCTCTTTTCAGTGGTGCCCAGTGGGTTGGACTAGATGACCTACAGAGGTCCCTTCCAACCCCTACCATTCTGTGATTCTGTGATTCTGTGAAGAGCAGAAACGGGTTTGTTTCTTTAGCACATCGTACAGCACAGGTCCATTCCAGAGATCAAGTCAGGTTTACAGCTAGATTTTGACCTGGATATAAAACACCCTTTATTATAGGTTTTTAGTCCTTGAAATGCAACTTCAGCTTACAACAGTGATTTTAAAATTGCATTTACTGGAATGATGTTAAATAGTACTTTAAAATAAATATTTGATCATGATGCTGGCCTTGAAAATTTTTTGAACGACAGCAGTGGTCCATTGATGCAAAAAACTTGAGAACCGCTTCTGTCTGTTACATGAAAATCTCCTCTGTCTCACGGAGGGCCTGAGGAAGCACTCTGTCTCTGTAAGGGAAACTACAATCCATGTGACTGTGGGACAACATGCACGTATGGGATCTTATTAGCAATCCTGGCTTTCTGCAGATCATGAGTTTCAAAGGCACAAAAAAAAAAAAAGAATCATGACTTTTCCCCGTATTTCCTACATTTTATTTCCTTTTATCCATTTTAAAAGCCACTGTCAGACTCCAGGAAACAAACAGTTTAGAAGTTATCTGCTTCCAAAAAGTAATTCGTGTTCTCAAAAAAAAAAAAAAAAAAAAAAAAAAAAAAAAAGGCAGCAATCTTTCTTGCAGGGCAGACTACATAGTTCTTATTCGCTCATGTGCTGCAAGCCAAGGTTGGGCACTCACAAGCATATCCCATCATGTGCTCGGACATACCACTGGCTCTGGAAACCCACTTATCCAGTGGCAATGAAGTCTACAGTCTAATTAAGCTCTGTGTGAATAAGTACCCCCTTATATTCATTTCAGCTTTGGCTTTACTGTGGTTTCCATCACACCTAGAATGACACAAAACATGTCCCAACACTTAAAAGTAAAAAGTTATAAAGCAGAAGTTTGGCAAAAACATTTAAG